GCGCGTCCCGCGAAATTCGCGGGCTCTGTTTGCGGAAAAAATTCATGCGCCGGTGGGTTCCGTGCGCGTAAAAGAGGGCACGGAATGCCAGTTTTACGGCGACTGGTTCGAAATCGGTAAGATATTGTACCACGTTGCGATTGAACTGTATGAGGCTAATGATAGAAAAAAAAATGTGCAATGACGGTAAAATATTAACAGTAAGAGACACTACGACAACGAAAGACAAGTGTAATTCAATAGAATACAGTAAATCCCCGATAAGTGTTCGAAGGCATTAGCGAAGAGTGTTTTCAAAAAGTTTAATCTCGACAACAGTTTTTTTAACACTTATTTAAGGAAGAATTAAATTTTTCTTTCAAATATGTCTTCTACCTCTTTAACTTTATATAGTTATACGCGAAAAAGTGGGGGTGCTTGTTTTATTTTGAAGTTACTTTTCCAACCCTTAAAGGACGAAACTGAAATATACCAGTATTCTTGTCGTGAATCACTCTACAAACCCACAGTTCCAGTCCGCTGGCCTGTGCTCGCAGTGTGTCCTAGTTAGTGGTGCGAAGAAAAGGTCCGTGAACGTGGCGGGGCGACGAGGAATGCCTCAGGAAGAAGGGAAACGCCTGGAAGATGGGAATCGGCGACGCGGAAACACTAGACGGGCCGTGTCGATTTCTCAACCTTATCGCCTGACTTCGGCCGAGCGGGAAAACAATGGTGCTCGGTTACCGCGGTTTTCCTCCGCGACGGGAATACGCGGTCTATTGGTCAGACGTCCGGGATACATTACCCCGAGCGAAACGTGAGTGCGAAAGATAGAATTTTCCCAGAGTGAAAGCACAGAAGAAAAATAGAACGGATGGAATCGCGTTTAATTGCAGCCTCCGACAGGATTGTCGTTCACTTCGTTGGACCAGACAGAAAGTTGGCGAGGTTGCGAAACAAAGAGGCGCAAAGAGGGAAATTTCAAGATAAGGGAGCGGATGCGGAGGAGGGGTGGAAAGGGAACTTTGACGGAAGATAGACGGAAAGGCAGGAAAAGGGGTGCTCTTGGGAGGAGGAAAAGAGCGTTTGAGGATGGTTTGAGGCGAAAATTGTTCAGGGGGAAAAGAGGGAGGAAAAAATAGGAAGCTGTGGGAGGTACGTTTCTGTGGAAGGCGAAGGGAATTAGAAAAAATGGAACCACTTTTGATTTTCTTCGGAGGGAATAAAAATTTCCCTTCAATTATGTTTTACTTGTTCTAATTATCTCTTATCAGTTACGGACAGTGGTATCGAGTAGAATCTGTATTCAGTGCAGACGCAACTCGAACTGATAGTTGGAAGAGAATACAATCAACGGCAATCAAGAAATACGGTTGCCCGTACCTATTCACAGCAAGTAGAAGCAGTCATCAATAATCAGACGTATCAATACGCTTCTATTATCGCTTGTCCATCTATAATTTGCCCAACTTAATTTGACTTCCGATGTCAGATCGACACTCTGGTAAAATATTAATATAACAAAGATATAAATAGTTAAATTTATATTGTCTTTAAAATAAAAGTCACGGAGCCTCAGCTGAATTTACTTACACACAACAGATTAACATCATTTCTTAGCAGAAAAATCTATCAAATTGACACAGTCAACATCCTAAAATATGCCTGTTAATAACACCCTGCAAACAATCAAACCTTTCCAATTCGTTACCGTGCACGAAGTTCCCCAAGTGGTTTTCCACAGGGTGTGGGGAAAAAGTATACGCCGTGCCGGCAATTCCCCTCAGGTAATTAAATCCAAGTCTAAAGACGAGATCTTCGTTCTCCTTCTCTCTGTTCCCAGCGTTCCCGCTTGGGAGCGACGTCCGGCCCCCTTCCGAACGAAGAAGAGGGAAGGAACTCCGGTGGCGCAAGAAAAGCGCAAAAACAACCGGATAGTGGGTTGGGGGATGGAAGGAAGCAGGACACGCGACTGGCTCGAGAAACCAAGGGGGGTGGGGGCAGGTGTGTCTCCGGGAAACGGAGGGGAAATCCCGCAACAGGAAATTTGAATTAAAGCCGAGGCGGATGGCAGAAAGGGGTGACCATAAATCTTTTTACCGTCTTCAAACTGAACAAAAATCCCCCCTGGGGCTTCTCTTGCTACGGAGGAGCCAACGGAAGACGGAGGGGTGGAAGACGCGTCCTCTTTTACCGGGCTTTTTACCGCCACCCAACTCCCTTCGCTCTAATTCACTAACCTTATCAGTCTGTTTTCGAGCCACGCCGACGGAAACAAAGGAACTCCGCCGGTTTTACTTCCGGCGACGGATGGCCGGTCAAAGACGTGCAAATTACGGGCTCGCTGGGAGTCTGTGTGGACAGACAACACCGGAAGAGTAGCGATCAAGCCACGCTGGATTGCGGATTAACGATGTGGGAAAGAAGATTGAGGATGGAAAAGCTGACAGATGTATGGGCGGTGATGGAACCATCTCTTCTTGCGCTTATATCCCCGTTATTTAGTTCATTAAATAGACTGCTGCCTGCGTCTCGCGAGTAATTGAAATATACTGTGTTGATGTGAAAGGAGACGGGACCACATAGTCGCGTTGATTTTAACGATCGACGGATTTCCAGCTGCGTTTCCCCGCCTTGATCCGCTCCGGAATCCCCCGCGGATTCCTTTCTTCTGACACTCACGTGTCGATTGAACGTTCTTGGGGTTGTCTCCTAGCAGAACAATTCGCAGCAGAAGATGCTTTTTAGGAATAGAACATTCAGCTCTTCTCGCAATATTGTTTAACACGTTGACTGCCACAGTGAAAATAGTCGTACGTAGCCAGACACACTTTACTTAGTTTTTTTAAGTCATAAATCATCGAAAGTACGTGTGTTTAGTTAACAGAGGCTGATGATCTTGTTTCTAATTACACTGCGATATTAATTTTATATGTATTTGTTCTTTTCAATTCAATTGATTACATTTTTCCAATTTTCCAAATTGAAATCTGTACGCTATAAAAAATTAGACATTCAAAAATCTAATTTTCACGTAGGAAATATCTATTAATATTATTATCATTTAAAATTCGACTTTGGTAGTTACAAAATCTCTTAAGCGTTCATTCATTAGTGCGCTTACCCGACTACTATTTTTCGAATTACGATTTAAGAAAGTACATCTGAAAAGGTATAATTAATCATTTTTATTGTATATTTCCTTTACATTAGAATCAGTTCCAGTATTTCAAATATTCGATTAACACGATCAATTTCACGTCGAGTCAAAGTGTTAAGAAATCTTCCACTGGTGGCGAAGAGAATCGATGAGCGAACAAACCTGGCGGACCGGAACCCGAGCCTCGACCGAAACCGCGAACACACGCGAGGAGAGTTAAAAATAAGCGATACCGAGACCCCCGGGCGGTAAATACGACGGAGATCGTCTGAACACCGCATCGTATCCGGTTACCTTGCCCCAACGACGGGAACGAGGGGTGAGGCAGAAGGAGGGTGGCGTGGAAGACAGGCAGCGAAAGCAGCGGTAACAAACGTCCGCCGTCTCTTATACAAAGTATCCACTTCCACGTTCGTTTCTCTTCCACACTTTTAAGCGATAACGAACGTTACCAGCCCCCCGGGGGATCGCGCGTGGCACGGACGAGGGTTGGAACCGCCTTGGGGAGGGTGGGAGGCAGCGTCGGTTAACCCCGTTGTGCCGTTTTCCACGGGTGGTAAGGTGCGTGGCGTGGTAAACACGAAAAATATGACCGACCACGGAGGATTTGTTCTTTGGGGGTGGGGGTGAGTTGACCTTAATCGCAGGTAAACTCGGTTAAAGAAATAGAGCATTGGGCGAATTGATCCTTGAAGTTATTGGTCGCGTAGAAATTCTTCGTTACTTTTTGTTCCAAATAAATTACCGTTAGAATCGCACTGTCTCGAACGAAATTAATCCTTGGGTGAACTTTAGTCGACTGTCTACTAGTGTCTCGTACACAGTGTTCACATTTTCTATCAACTTTCTCGCGTATTTTACATCTACGAATTAACTTGGAGTGACTGTGATTCGTTTAATCTTTAAAAAAAGAACTGAGGTTCGTGTGGACTGTATAACTAATAGTAGTTACGTAGAAATTAATACTTCGAACGATGATCCAATCGACATCTCCAATCTAAACTAACGAAATTCGACGTTCCCGAAACGGTTCGCGGTAAACGACGATGAACCGTGAACTTCTGTCGACAATCAGACATGTGTATCACAAGGGAGCAGGTGGAAGGAGAAACAGTAGCGTAACCAAGTGCGCTGCTCGAAGGGGCGCACGCGAGGAACGTCAAGCTCAACTTGAAATTGAGTTGTCATCCACTCCCACGAGTTACACGGCGCCTTTATAACGTTGCGCCGGTGCCGTGATGCGAGAACTATTAAGTCCGAAACCGGATGGGCTACGTCTCTCGCTCCGTCTGGGCCGGAGGGACGATATTAAGGGCCGAGCGGAGATAGATGCCCTCCAGTTTGTTGAAAACCAGCCACACGTAACACGGTCTTAATTTCTCGTGAGAGAAGATTTTTAAATCTGACGTTTTCACCGTTTCTGACGAGTTCCAAGCCTTTGATGAAAGGTACTTAAAGATTGTCAACTGTTCATAAGCAATTATAATATTTTCTAAAATCTTTGACGAAGTCACCGGGTCGCTAAATTTTCTCTGCATAACGATTTTAACGCTCGACCGGGGCGTAAGTAACAAAGGCTGGGAGCATGCGGCTGCTATTTTCCAACGTAAATTCATTAACCGCCGACCCGACGATAGGAAATGAGGAGAGGAGGTGGAGCTTTTAACTCGAACGTAATTTCCTTTTGATCGAGACTTCGATACTTCATTTTTTGTCTCCATCGATTCGGCCTTTTCCATGTCCTTCATGCAAAATTCTTTCGACTTACACCGAACACGGTATGACAGAAAATTGAAATTTTACGATCGACGAACGGAAGAGACTGCTCTGACTTATGATGTTATTTGTTTTCTGCTTTCAGAGGGTCGTATCCTGGAGCTTCATTCCCCGGACGGTGTACACGAGTGTTGGCTAAGGGCCGCGGATAACGCGGAGGCGAGCGTATGGTTCAATGCATTGCATTCAGCCCTCGCTGCCCTAACACTGAAGGCGTTGCGGTTGGCTTCGGCGCTTCCGGATCCGCCGCAGCTCCAACACATCGGCTGGCTCGCGAGGAGACACTGCCTTCAGGTATGCAACGTTGAATTATAAATGGTACACGACTGCCTTCCTTGGCAGACAACGCGACGGCGGTGTGCAATTAGACAGTGAATGTTCGGTCGAATTAATTGGTCTACTATGTCCTCGTACCAGTGACACAAGTTTCCGTTCCATTCAAGATGTTCATCGTGTTAGGATAAGATATTGAATACGGTAAATCATTGACGAGTTTTCGAAGGTTCTTTCCCAGTGGTGGGGATTACGTCTGAACACTCAATATCGAGGAGTCTTCGAACACTCATCGACATTTACTATATATCTAGGATCACGTATATTTTTGCGATGACTTAAGCCGAGTTTACACCTTTTCACTTTGAATGATCATTAAAGCAATGTTTTTCGACGAATCATCCGCGATGAATATCCAGAGCAAGAAGATGTAAAGTTCAGCTTTAACGATTACTTGGTAGAATACCAGACAATGAAACTCATTTAGTTGCTGATCTGAAGCAATAAGTTTGAAAAGGGATTGGGGGATGAATCGCCTCCACTATCAAATAACATAGTATTAGCATTCCCGTTTTATTAAAAAGAGAGAACCAGGGATCATTGAGAGTTGCCTCGAATATTACTCGGGATCAAAGAAACCAGGGATAAAATGTTAAACCCGAGGGGTTGGGGGGAGGGCCGTCGAGGAAATAAAGGGTGAAAGACAACGGAAATGAAGGCGAAGCTACAAGGTGGGGAGGGCAAGTAAGAAGAAATATGGGGGGGTGTGGGAAAGAAAGATCAACAGGGGTAATAACAATGACAAGAATCGTCGGGGGTCGGTTTGACTGATAAAACGGCGGGTGGGGTGCGTGATTGAGCGGAGGAAATGGAAAAGGGCTACTAAAACAGGAGTAAGAATTAAGGACGAAGGAGATCGAGCTGGCTACGAGAGGAGAAGGAAAAATCGCAAAGAAAGAGAAAGATCCAGAAAGTCATTTCAGAAGAGGGAAGGAGAAATATTGAAAAGAGTCGAGTTCGCGGGAAAAAGCTAGAGGAGATGGAGGAAGGAAGCGGAATGGAAGCGAGCGTTAATATTGAAAAGAGTCGAGTTCGCGGGAAAAAGCTAGAGGAGATGGAGGAAGGAAGCGGAATGGGAGCGAGCGTCTGGGGCTCTCGAGCATTTCCCCGTCGCGCCCCTAGAATCGGATAGGCTGAGACTGCTCTTTCGCGAGCTGTTTCGCTCTGATGGAGGGTGACGCGGTCCTCTCGACGCGGCCCGCATGAGACGTGTACACCACCGTCACCCGGCAATTTACGACGATCTCCGAAAGCGTCGACGGAAGCGTCTCGAAGCGCAATATCGCGACTGTCGTGCGATTCTTAACGACAGTCACTGGGAGACGCGGACCCTTCGCAGCCGGAAACGCGTTTCAGGGCGTTCCTGGTGGCTCTCTGCCGAGAGACCACGCGTGGAAAGACTCGCTTCGGGTACTTGTCGGTTTGATATCTGTACAGGGTGATGCGCTGAGTTTCACGACCGAAAAAGATTTAGCTTGTCCCTCGTCAGCGAGACACGACGATTATTTCGCGAACTTGTTCAAAGTCGTTCAGGCATCGAAAGGCAAAACAGTTCGTAGACGGTTTTAGTGAATAACCTCGTTAAACGTGGGGTAGGGTGCCACTCTGTCGACACCGTAATGACATTCGACGCTAAACCGTCGCCTAATTACCAACCCGGCTCGTTGTCCGATCGCGACCATTCGCGGGCCTCTCTATCGTCGAACAATGGCGGCTCTCCGCGGTCCCGCGATCGCCTATCGATCCCCTATCGCGTTTCGCCCGGCCAGCTCTCCAATCAATTCGTTCCTCTCACTCCCCTCCACCTTTCTCCTCCGTGATTATTCAACGCGATCAAAACCCATTCGCTTTTAAATTCGTTTCCCCTCTGTTTAATTATCTCGATCGGGGGGGTAGGCTCGTACGATCAACGCCGGCGACACGGTTATCGCCACAGCCGACCACATAATTAGATATCGGGTACTGAGCCCTTTTACAGCCACGAGGATACAGAATTTCGTTGAGAGGAATATTTTCCGAGTGGCGGGAGTGAAACGCGCGATGTACACGGGTTGCTTCAGCGGACGGAACAATTACGGATAATTGAGCGATGCGATTGCGACTGCTCCATCTACACCGAGAACGTGACCCAGTAAATGGGCCAGGCTCGTTTTTGAATTCGAACGGAAAGGGACGATCGTCGTGGTTTGGACTGGACAGGTGTTCGTTCGCCACCTCTTTGATACGCGTTGCACACAGACTGTAACTTAGTATATAATATTTTTAGGACGTTTTCGGTGCTTACAGGGTACCTAAATATACAGATCATTCTGATTAATTTAAGATATTGGAAGATTAATTTATGGACATTAAGATTGAAAGGAAATTTACTATTAGATTCAACATGAAATAAAAATCGCATTAGAATATATTAACACTATACCGACCGAACCCTTCAAACGAAATTGGAACAGTAAAATTGGTCATTTGGTCGGTCGTGGTAGGTTTAATGTTAAACTTCTTGCTGTATTGAGTCACAGCCGATCAGGTGTGCTAAAGATGTATAAAATCCACAGTCTACTCATAACTGGAGATCCGAATGTATGCACACTTAATATCCTCTTTATTCCAGTTTATTAAATATCCTGCAAATATTCTTCGATAACCCAATCGTCATAAACGCTCGATACGACAAAGGATTAAACTGATTATAACCAGCAACAAGTCGTATATTAACTCCATTCATCAGTCATCTCACAGATTATCCATCTCGAGCGAGATCCTCCAGCGTATCGAAGCGCGACCGACGTTATCGATCTCCTATCGCTTACGCCCGAGCGATTCTCGAGTGGCCTGGAAAAAACCACCACCGGTCGGACGGCTCGTTAACATAATTCCCTGGAACCTGGTGTTTTCGTAAAATAATTTCACGGAGCGATCAATCTTCGCTGCGCATGGGGGGGTCGGGCTTATCGCGAAACGGCACGAAACCGCGCGCGCGCGCGCTCTCCACGGTATGCACCCTCGTATAATTGAAGCCTCACGGCTGGGAACGTGCACGAAGCAACGACTGGGAAGGACGGAAAAACTTACGTAAACTGCGGAAAGAAAACATTTCAGAGAGAAGTTCGAGCGCAAACATCGTCGAGGACCGATCGGTTCCGTTTCCTCGTTCCGAAGTAGCTCACTCACTGGGTTAGACCGTGGCTGCAAATCAGCGGGGGTTTGTGTTCTCCACCTCCTTCGCGCGAGGAAACGACGGCCGGCGAACGGAACGCGACGAAAGGCTGTAATTAACGATCCTCGATCGTTCCGGATAATTAAGCCGCGACTCGGCGACAATTAGTTGCCTCTACCTCCCCGACCGCTTGCACACCAATTACCATTCACCCTGAAAACGAAACGACGCGACGTTCTCCGAACGGTTTCTTATTCTAGCCTGTACCACGGTGCCAGGTGAAGAGTGGAAAGAAGAAGAAAAAACGTTTGCGGTGATTTGTGGCCGGAGAAACAGCCGAGAGAAAAATTTGTTCCTCCTGGGACGTTAAAGTCCTCCCCACTCTGGTTTCTGGAAGAAGTTTTATCTTCGTGATTTTCCGCGGTCTTACACCTTGGTCACTTCTTCTTTCATGTTATTCCTTCTTCATCCGCTCCGTTTTTCGTCTGCGTTTCGAGCTCGGTAAATTGTGGTTCGTTCCCCATCGATAGATCGTTGGAAAATACTTTTCTTCGAGAAGCTATTAGGGAACGGGTTGGGGGGATCGCTAACGTTCCGATTGACTGTTTCTGGCTTACTAATTGGACCAGTTCGGAAACTTGATCGGGAGGGGATGGAGAGGGTTTTTGGGTCGTGCCTGGAAACATCATGATTTCGCTGAGTCAGCGGCGGAACACGCGCTTATTCTAACGAGGCCGTTTTATTCGTGGGGCGATCAATTGGTATTCGCTTGTCCGTTTGCGATAATTGGGGTTTCGAAATTGATTGTCGGAGGAGTGGGATTGTGAAAGTATGAAGAAGTTAACGATTAGTTATGCCAGAAATGATCGATTTTCAAAAGAAAATTTACTAGGTATTCACGATGGGTGATTTTTAATCAGATTTTCTATGATTATTAACCCCTTCGTAACATCGAGTCAGACTCGTGGTTGTGATTTTAACGTAGATTCGAAACACAAATATTACTAGTTTTCTTTGACTCAAAGTGAAATGCTACCTTGCTGATATTAATATTTAACTTTTACAGTAAATGTACAGTTGCGATAAGCACAGAATAAATTAATTCTGAAAACTGCAGACATAAACAAAATCGTAAGACAAGAGGTTAAGGTTGGTATATAAAAAAATACATAGATTGCTTGTTACTAGCAATTGAAAAAGTAATTGTATTCCGTGTAGAATCATTAAAAAAAAACAGGAATCTGCAAAATGATTGGTTGTTGATTCGTCCAAAAATAATGTTTGGAGAACAGTGTTACATCAACGTGCGTAGACGTATCAATATCAACCCTCTCTCTGGTCAAATTACCGATCAGAGTAATGTTGGCGGTCGCGCACAGAGAACCTCCAAAACCAGGAGGATCCAACCAATAGATCGATAACTAATATATCCAGCCCACACACGCGTGGGTGTATCGATGATGGCCAGGCTGTCAAACGAAGGAACTCGTGGTAGGGGTGAGAGGGCGGAGAGGTTACACGAGATACCCAGCACATAATTGATTGGCATTAACGCACCTGATTGCCAGTACCCTACTCCCAGTAGCCCGCACCCTCCCCCATTTCTCCTCTCCACCACCCTTACGGAAACTGTCCCGCGGGGTGCTTGAATATGTCCTCGTCTCTGGGCTGGACGTCGTGTTTGAAGATCGGTGGCCCATAATCAGGCAATATCGCGCGAAACGTGTGTGTGTGTGTGTGTGTTGTGAAACGATGGAACGATCAGAGTGGACAAATCGGGCGTGAAGTTGTATCACGTGAAGTC